TATATATATGATTTTTTTAATTATTTTTTTTTAATTTGTTTTTTTAAGGAACCCCAAAACCGGAGGTGACTTGGTCCAGGGGTGAACAAACAATTCAGGCTGGAGACCACTATTCTATGACGTCAGAGAATGACGTGTACACCTTGGAAATCAAGGACGCCTCCAAGCAAGACGCAGGGACTTACACAGTTACTGCCCTTAGCTCTGCCGGGAAGACGACCTCTGACTTTGAGGTCAGCGTGACAGGCACAGTTGAGACAGAGAAGACAGTCCGAGCTCCAAGGTCAGGCAGCGTGTCTTTATGTAGATCTGAATAATTTTATTTGAGATGCAACTCCTTACAGCTGTTCACCTATAATGTATTCAGTCAGTCCTCTTCTAAGGGCTAGAATTATAAGACACTTACCTGTAAAAATGGCCACTTCCCATCTCCTCACTTGCGTATTTCTTAAAATTTTACATTATAGTGACACTGAGTAAAATGTTGATCTGTCGAACACAACCACTTTTCTCCTCGACAATGCGTGGCAGTCTTAAACAAGTTGACTGTATGTTGAATATTATAATGTCTTCATAGATTCAGAAACACCTCAGTGGCAGATGGAGTTAAGCTTCTGATCAGTTGAACTTACATCGCTTTCCTTGATTGTACTGAGCCTATTCTTAATTAATCATAATATCTCTTTTTACGAACAAACAGCCTATTGAGAAATCAGAAGTGCACATACATTAGAAGGTATTTAAGGATAACAATTTTCTTTACGAGCTAAGAATAAAGCTTTCCCAAAAACGAACACTTGGATACTGATTATGACCAAATGATTAAAGACAGGGCATGGTTTGTAAATGGGCCTTACCAGAGGAGAAACGGACATGAATTTTAAGGAAAACAAGTAGGGGAATAAAAGTAATACGTACATTAATTTAATTTCAAAAATTTAGTTTCTCATTTACGTTTTCGTTCATTAAGCCCCGAGGTTGACCCACGTGTTCCCAAGTTTGAGGTTGCGCCCCAAGATGTGAACGTGTCTGAGTTCGACTCTGTCAAGTTAGTCTGCACAGTCAAAGGTATGTTCACAAAAAATAAGAAGTCACAGTAAAATTATATTGACATAAATGTTTGTGTAAACGTTTATTCTGCTTCAGATAAGTGTGAAAATGATACTGCTGAATCAAACTACTAGCCTTTTCGAGTCAAATTTTAATTCAGAAAGACCATTTATGTTATTATTTTAAAAATTTCGTAATAGTGATTTTTTTTATATTTTCAGAGACAATAACTTGCAAATGATTTATCTGAACCCACTGCTCTTGCATTTTTATTGAGTACGAA